TGTGTGTGTGTGTGTGTGTGTGTGTGTGTGTGTGTGTGTGTGTGTGTATGTGTATGTGTGTGTCTGTGTCTGTGTGTGTATGTGCGCATGACAAAATATCTGACCACTCTTCGTCCTTTTACGGTGGAAGTTGCATGAGCGTATGGGGTTAGCAGTGTCCCTATGGCAATCACCTCTGATTGGAACTTTGCTAATTAACAGATTACGCCTTAGAGATGACAGACAAAAGCCGTTGGAGTGTTCTATGTGAAATAATAGATCAATGGGATATAGTACCTATATAGAGTTCAACGGCTAAGATGCTGCGAGTGGGTAGGAAATGAGAGATTTCCGATCGATCTATCGTCTACGTGTATTGTTCCGACGCAATGCTCAGTATTACGTAATTAAACAATACGTAACTGTTGTCAACGATAATATATAGGAACACAAATTATACTATTAAATAGGGATTTTAGCCGCAGTACTCATTGGGTTATTATCAGCCGTACAATGCTGCAATAAATATTTAGATACTTAGTTGTAAATTATAACTTATTTATTTTCAACTGTTAAAACCACTTATGACAAGCAATACCTAGAATATTATTCTATTATTCTTCCGAAAAACCAACGTTTTTCAATAAACGCGTTCTAATCAATCTACTCGTGACCGTAATTTTATGTTATACCTATTCATAAACCGGCAAACACGATTATGTAAATTCGATACTATAATATAATACAAACTCGTTGGCATTTCTCACACGCGCATGCACTCTCCTAATGAAAATAAAAAGAAAATACACAGTTTTATATAAAAAAAATAATGTATACTCGTCGAATATTACGTGTCATTCGATTTGTTTGCTACACGATGATTTTTCTTTTATGTGTATTGCATTCACATTACATTATTTCCATACACAGTAATACGTAGGTACCAATAAATATTATTAGTTTTCTCATTATAAGATATCTATACACATTCATTAAATGTTTATTTTTTATTTATTTATTTTTTTTCATTGATAATGGACATATTATATCAAATTAACCGATAATCGTGTTTTTCTATTATTTTTTAACTGTACTTACGAAGAGCTATGTTAATGTCGACTTCGGACATTTACGTAATCTTTACAAATATACATAAGATTACATATTTTTATTTCTCTCGTGTTTCAACAATAGTTTTAACACATCCTTGTACATGTGCCAAATAATGCAACTGAATACATATTTTTACAATAGCTTGAAACCTTTTAAGATATTTTTAGAATAAAAATATGTGTGCCATAAATACTCGAATACAATTATAAAACTTTTTGTTGGTTATTACATATTAAAAATATATCTGAACATTTTCATGTACAAAAATGTTCCTTTTTAAACTGTATTTTGAAGAAAAAATAAAATATGCAGATCATTTAATAAGTTTTTCCCTAGTGTATAAAAAATTAACAATTATTATAAAGTTATATACGAGAATTTTTCGACGTTAGAGTAGTTAGTAGGGTAGATTAGAGTAGAGTAGTAATAGGTACTTTTAATATAGAGTATTAAGAATAAATAATAATTTCATTTGTAAGGTAAAGTGAAAAAAAATAACAAATCATTTTTTTCTTACTAAAATATATAGAGTACTCTCAGAGTAACTAGAAGGTATCTAGCTTAAGCTCTTGTACTGAAAAATCGTCAAAGTATACAAGATTAAAGTGCACAATAATTCATGTATAAAAACCAGAATTTCACCGAAACGTAGAAATAATAAGCATCTAGTTATATGAAAATCAATTATAATTTTCCGTACCGATTAACCGTTACGTATGCTACTTAAAAGTACTATTTTATGCTGAAAATTGTACATGAAAGTAAAAATAAAACACGTCCATTCTGTTTTCAATAAAATCAAATGAATTTGATATTTTTTAATTTCTACAATTTTAATGGAAAAATGGTCGTACATTTCTTTAATATTTCAAATAATTTTATGAACAGATAATTGAGAACACTCAATAATGTTTTCATAATTTTAGCACTTTATGGTTTGAGGAAAAACAAAAATTTTTGCTTACACATGACTTGTCACAGAACATACCTGCTAAAATGTGTTATCACCAAATAATAAAGATAAATAATCCTACACTAACCATCGGACGGTGTCACCTTTGTTTCCATGGTGGTAAATTC